AACTCATCCAAAACAGGGCTTCTGCTACATTAAAAGTTCTTGTTATAACCCTTTATCACAGAATTGAGATAAGGGATGGGGCTAGTGGGAGGGGAATTATAAGGCAGCCTGAAGGTAAGATGAGGATAATGGTCTTGGACACTTTGCTGGTGGAGAGGTGTCTGTGTACATCAAAACCATGTGTCAGCACTACTGTAGGCATGTCACCCAAACCAGAATAATTAATTTTTAATGAGCTTGCTATGGGGATAGGTGGGCAGTGGGAGGGTAGCTTGTGATGTCAGTGGAGGGACAATGACATGGGTGATGGAGTTGCAACACTGTATGTCTGAAACTCCATTAGTAAGAGTAGAAAGAGTACTGGAAATCATCGTGCCTAAAAAAATTTAAGGGGAACCCTGCTATGCCCTTTATCATTACTTTATGGAACAAGATTCAATCCCAGACTAACTGCACTGCAAAAAATAAAATTCTCTGAACAGTACAACGTTAGAAAATAAAGGAAGAAGTCCTAGTAGCTAGGAAGAAAAAAAAAGGGCAAGGGAGAGCATCAGATATTTTCATAAATGGTAGAGGTTTATCAGCACTGTTAAAGGCCCCCATACAGGTAACGATTCACTGTAACTACCTTTAGAATTAAGTGGATTTAAATACAGTCAATGTACTCGAACTAATTAGTAATCAACCAGATATTTTTAACACTACGTTAGAAAAATTCACACTTCGAAGCAAATAATAAATATACTTCACAGAATTGTTCACACCCTAATCATTGAGGAAAACATGTACAGGACCTTGAATTGATATTCATTTAATTGCTTTGTTAGCCTAGGAAAAAATTAAATTTCATGTTTTAAAAAAAATCTATAGCTTAATAATTTCAACACTACTTCTCTAATCTTCCTACTTTCAAGTTGCTGAGGCTTTCAGTTCTAATAACAGAAAACAGCAAATACCCAAATATAAATGTGCATGGTATGCTTGATATATTACCCACAAAACAGTGGCAACACAGAATTAATTCTTGGTAATGCTTACCTATTCAAATTATTAGAGAACACCAACGATATATTGGTAGACTTGAAATCACTACACAATGTGACCTTCAGAATAACTTTATTCTACTGATAATATAATTTTATTAATCACTTCAAGATCAGTGTGCTTAAGATGGGAATTCAAGACTCTGAAGTTGACATTTGTTGTTTCAGCATTCCACCTGCTTAATAGTTCATATCTAACTGGCATTTTTATCTTTAAGTAGATAAAGTGCTTATCTACTTCTCTTTTGATCTTTTTTATGAGTTCTTTTACAATATTCTTTTCTGCATCTCACAGCATAACTTGTTCTTCTGCAATATATGAAAATCACACGTCTCTCCTCTCTCTCACACACAGACACACAGACATGCACATACACAATTTACGTACATACATGCATGCCAGGGCAGAACATGTGCCTTTCAAATCTCAAGATCTTTTGCTAACTTCTTTGGCAAATACTCAGATATTTGATCTGGCATACCCACTAATCAGTCCGTTCTTCCCCACAGAACATACTCCAGTTTGGTGATAGGGATTATACCTCACCTGCTTAGGTATGCAACTTCCACTCCCAAAAGATCTTCCAATCATTTTCAGACCAAATGATTTATGGTCCAGATTCTCTTCCTGGGCATCAGTCCTGGCCAATGTACAACAAAAGAAAAAAAAACTTTACATTAAGATCTAGGAGCACGCTTCATTCACCAACATGATCTCTAGTTACTCTCTATATACCTAAATCACGGATAATATCCAGTATTTTCCCAGACCTGGGAGGTTTGAGTCTCACCCCCTCCTTTGCTTGACTTTCAACTCGTATTCAACCTTTCAACCCAGCCACCCAGTTTGACATCTTTTCTGGTCAGAAAGAAGCTGTGGTTATTTCGCCTCATCCATACACTACCTTTCAAAGTTGGTGTCACTCTTGTGATTTTTGCTTTTCTGAGGAGACAAATGCAAATGAATAATATTCTGAAACAACCAGTCATCTTCATTCAAGTTTAGAAGGAGTGACTCTCTGAAGAAGCCCAGGTCTCATTTTACCCAGCCCCCAACGCTTTTCATAAGTTATATTCCCCCCAGCCCTGTGCTCTCAGAAACGAACTCTCTAGAAACAAGCTCCCGAGAAATAGGCTCCAGCCCTGCACTCCCTTTGCTTGTTCACTAACAACTGACTTCACACAGGCTGCCCCAAAGAAAAGGATTATCCTAACATTTTGCACTCTGAGTCTGCTCTGCTCCGGTTAACTTTGGAAGTATCCTACAAAGCTACTCTCATAGCAAGAAACCTGCTTCCACAAGGAGACTGCTTCTCAGAGCTGGGAGTACATCCCAAATTGAACAAGCATCCACCTTGGGCCCATTCTAAATACCTTGGATATGACCTCATGGATTCCCCACCAGGAGGCTAGCAGTACTTTAGGCATTCCACAATGTGAGGTCAGCAATATAAACAAGATATCCAGTTTCTGAGGTCTTTAAGCCTATTGAAACGCATCTAATTACAGGACTTAACATAAGACTGGCTTCAGCCAAGGTACAATGACATTTAAGCAAACACAAATGAAAAGTCTGAACCTCTCAAATCCTCCTCAAACTCTCAGGCTGGCAGTGGTCCCTAACAACACCCTACACTTCTCCATATTAAAGATCTCAATCTTTGCTTCTTAAACTGGGGGGTCTCACCCTCCCCCATCACTCAGGAGCTGGAGAGATGTTACAGTGGGTAGAGGGCTTGCCTTGCATGTGACCAACCGGAGTTCAATTCCCTGAACCCCATGTGGGGACCCCCCAAGTCCCGCTGGTAGTGGTGCATGAGCACAGCGACAGGAGTAAGCCTTAAACCCAGCCAGGTGTGGACCCCCTTTCCCCCATCCCAAGACCCGTCTCCAGGAGGTTACATAATTCAATGTGTGGATTGTGAAAAATCTTTTACAATTGTTTAAAAATACATGATGATCAGTAAACATTTGATTTGTATACCTATTTTATAATACCCAGAGTTACACCATGATTTCTCAGGCAAACAGGGTCCTGAGTGGAAAAGTTTAAGCAGCTCTTGTGCATAAGTAAATAAGCATACAAAACAAAATTTAATTTGAAAACAATTTTTTAGGCCAGCCCTACACTGGACCCACAGTGTCAGCTAGATCAAGGTCATTTCCCCCTGAGGATAATGGCCTCACAAAGCTACATATATTCTTCTCAGCACCTGTGCCCACAGATACCCCCACTAACACCAGGTATCCCCGGGGATCTAGCTGCACATCTTGCCACTCTCTACAGGAGAGAATCGGAAGCACAAGTACAGGTGAGGATTCTAGGGAGGTCTGTCCAGGAGGGTGAAATGTATTAACAGGGCTGTATGATAGTGTACACCTGCCCAGGATCTGGGACTTAAGGTTATAGCACACTCACCTGAATGTGGCACTCAAACAATTATGTTGGGTTTTGTGTGTATTTTTTATTTTTTGCATTTTGGGTCACAGCCAGCAATGCACAGGGTTTATTCCTGGCTCTGCACTCAGGAATGACTCCTGACGGTTCTCAGGAGACCATATGGGACGCTGGGAACTGAAACCGGGTTGGCCGTGTGCAAGGCAAATGCCCTACCCACTGTGCTATCACTCTAGACCTCACAACTGTTGTTAATCCACGCGTGAACTTAACTGCTTCCCCCAGACCTAAGGAGCCCTCCCCCACCCCCACCGCGCGCGCCGTGTTGATGGGAACCAGGGATCAGTAAGACAGGAACATTGCATGTGGAGGCTTATGCCTGTCACCCCAGTCTAGCTAGGAAGTGTCCCCTTTCACTCTCAAGTGTTCTGGTCTGGGGAACCACCTGTTCTCCACCCCCCCTCTCCTCCCAGGTCCCAACAGACACTCCTTTCACCAAGGCTTTAAGAAATGCCTTGCTGAGCAGGGCATGGGAATTCTGCTCAAATTCCTGATATCACTGTCCTCTGCCCCCCCCCCCTGGCCAGGAGGACAAGGGGTGGGGGTGGGGGTGGGGTACACTGGAACTGAAGACTCTAGTCTCAGGGGCATGAGAATCAGAGTGACAGAGGAAGAAGCCAGTGATCGCACCGAACCACGAAAAGACACTTCTCTCCATTTTTTCAATAGTGCTTGATATTTATTGAAAGTAAACATGAAAATGCTTTCTCCAGGCAGTACTGGGGAGCTAGGCTAAGTGCCCGGCGGTGTCTGTTTTTTTTTTTGGAATTTCTGTCCAAATGCACACACATGTGGGACCGCTGCAATTTTGTAAAGGAAAATGACAGCTGTGCCAAACTGCTGCATAGGCGAAAAGAAACGTCGACAATTTGGCTGCCAGGCACACTAGGTCGCGGCTGCAAAGGGTGGGGTGGGGGGAGGCAGGGGAGGACCCCCACCCCCACCCCCACGAGCATCATGGAACTAAACAGGCCAAGGACTGTTCTGGCGAGAGGATGGGAAGGGGGTGGAGGGGGCGCTGATGTGTCCAAATCAAAGTCCGGGAGGTAGAGCCCAGGCAGGCGTCTTTGAGGTGGGTCGCTGGAATGTGGCGGTGGTCTGGAGGAGGGGGTGGTGGTGGTGACGAGGCGGAGTCACAGGAGGGAATCTGGTGTGGATGGAGGCCTGGCAGATGGCGAGGCGGCGGTGGTGCGAAGTCGGACCAGTTTGTAACAGGAGCCGGTCCTGGAGCCAGGGTGGGGGGCCCCAGACAGCGTCCCAAAGCGGCAGGGGGGAGGGGGCGCGCCCCGGGGGCGGGCCCGACGGGTGACGACGTGGAGAGCCGAAGGCCCAGCCGGCCCCGGCAGCGGGCACCAGTGGGGGGGGGGGGTCTATTCCGGGAACAAAGGCAAGCACTACGGGGTGGGGGGCGGCTGCGGGTGGGGCTGGGGTGCGGGGTGCGGGGAGCACCGCAGCGCGGGGCGGGGCGGAGGGGGGCGGCGGCGGCGGCGGGTGCGGGGCCCTCCCCCCCCACCCCGCCCCAAATCGAGGCCGCGGGGCCTAGTAGTCGTCTTCCTCGTCGGTGCTGTCCTCGTCGTCATCCCAGCCGAAGCACTGCTTCATCTCGTCGAGGAAGGCCCGGTAGTCGCCGAGGATGGGGCTGTCGGTCTCGATGTAGGGGATGACCCATTCCTCGGCCTCGCCGCCCAGCAGGCTGATGAGGAAGGCCACCTTCATGGCGTCGTTGCAGAAGCGGTTCTCGTTGACGAGCATGTACGAGGACGTCTGCACGATGAACTCGGGCAGGCGCGCGCTCTCGCCGCGGAACGTCTCCGGGAAGGGTACGGGGCAGCTGGGCGGACGTACCTGGCGCAGCAGGCTGGCCCGCTCGCACACCAGCAGCCGCAGCTGCTCCATGAGGCGGCCGTTCTCGATGCTCAGGGCGCGGTGGCGCATCAGCAGCGCGTGCAGCAGCAGCACCAGCTCGTCCACCATGGCGATAAGCGGGGGCGGCGGCACCCGGCAGGCTGCGGTGGTGCGCGGGGGACTGAGGCGCCCAGGCCCTGCGCGCTGGGGTCGCGGCGGCGGCGGCGGCGCAGGCTCCGCCCCCCTCCCCGCCGACCGGCCCCCGAGGCGGCCCGTGCGCCGGCGCGACCCCCTGCGGGGGCGGGGCCGAAGGGAAGCCGGACTCCGCGCGGGGGCGGAGCCGGGCTGCATAGGCGGTACCGAAGGGAAGCCCGGATACCACGCGGGGGCGGGGCCTGACGTAATGGGCGGGGCCGAAGGGAAGCAGGACTCCGCGCGGGGGCGGAGCCGGCATGCATAGGCGGTACCGAAGGGAATGCCGGACGCCGCGCGGGGGCGTGGCTTGACGTAATGGGCGGAGCCACAGGAAAGCAGGGCGCCGCACGGGGGCGGGGCCGGGGTGCCGGGCGCCTGGAAGGCGGGGCCAGGGGCGGGGCCCAGGGGCCGGGGGCCCGGAAGGCGTGGCCAGGGCCTTGGCCGGCACTTTCGGGAGGCCGCCTCGGGGGCGGGCGGGCCCCAGGCCTGTGGGCCGAGAGCCCCGCCGATCCGCTGCTGCCAGCTCCAGGGAAGTGGGCCTCCCCCCTGAGCCGTTCCCAAGCGACCGCCGGAAACCGCCGTCAGAGCTCAGGCACCCTTCTGCTCCCCCGATTCACAGCGTTAGTGCAGCGTCTGTGGCAGGGAGGATACAGTTGCCTATTTTTTGTGAACACAGTTCCTAGCTTGTGTAAATCGCACTCACCAAGAGAACACTTAGCCCTTCTCTCAGCCCTGTGGGACTTGCACATTCTTTAAGTCCTGGAAGGCCCTTGGCGTAGGGGGGAGGGCAGGAGAGGCGTCTGTTTCATGGAAAAATAAAACCTCTTTTTTAGTAGACCTCGGTTATTTGTGAGCAAACTTTCCCAACACTGGCAACAGAGTTCTCCAAAAGGGTCCTCTAGTCATTTGCAAACTTTTAATTTGCATTCTCATAAGAGTGACCTTGGGTCAGTGAGAAACACTTGGGTTTTTTGTTTTCCCTTTTGACTTGGAATGTTCGGGGAGTTGATGAGAATCGAGTGGGTTCTCACAGCTTGGGGCTAGCTTATTTCCTTGGCTCTTTTTTTTCCATTTTTTTTAAAAATATTTTTAAACGAATCACCGCGAGCTACAGTTACAGACTTACAAACTTTCGTGATTTCTTGTCAGTCACACGATGACCCAGCCCTCTACCACTGCCTATTCTCCACCAGGAATGTTCCCAGTATCGCTCCTGTCAGCCCCTCTTCCCTCCCCCCACCCCTCTGCCTCTGTGTCAGGCACATTCCCTTTTCATCTCTCTCTCTCCTTTTGGGTGTTATGGTTTGCAATACAGGTAGTAAGTGGCCATCATGTTTGGTCCATAGTCTACTTTCAGCACGCATCTCCCATCCTGAGCTAGCCCTCCAAGCATCATTCACTCAGTGGTCTCTTCTCTATCCCAGCTGCCTTTTCCCCTAGCCTGTGAGGCTGGCTTCCAAGCCTTGGAGCTATCTTCCTGGTCCTTACGTCTATTATTCTTGGGTGTTAGTCTCCCATTCTGTTACTTTATGTTCCACAAATGAGTGCAGTCATTCTATGTCTGTCCCTCTCTCTCTGACTCATTTCATGTAGCATTATACACTTCATGTTGATCCACTTATATTGTATATTTCATGATTTCATCTTTTATAACAATTGCATAGTATTCCATTGTGTGTACGTGCTAAAGTTTCTTTAACCAGTCATATGTTCTAGGGTACTCGGAGTTTTTTTCAGGTTCTGGCTATTGTAAATAGTGCTGCAATAAACATATAACTGATTCGGATGAGCTTCATGCATGAAGGAACCAGCAGAGGAACCCAGATGTGAGGGACCCGGGTCTTAGATCTCCAAGCCTGCTTGGATCGGGACTGGGCCTCCTCCACCCAGATCCCCCCCATCTTCCAGTATGTAGGCGTTACACCCACCAACTGCCCCCAGCACTGTGTAATCCCATCAACGGCCAAGACCCAGAGACTATTAAACCCATAAAACGATAAAACTATAGTTCTTAATCTGGAGAACCTGGCAGGCTACAGAAAGTATCCTACCCACACGGCAGAGTCTGGCAAACTCCCCGTGGGTATTCAATATGCCAAAAACCCGTAACAATGAGTCTCATTCTCCTGACCCTGAAAGAGCCTCGAATGTGGCACTTTCTAAAATCTCAGGGCTAGGATGAAGGAGACGTTACTGGTGCCTGCTCGAGGAAATCGATGAACAACAGGATGACAGTGATACAGTGAAACATACAAGTGCAAATGCCATTTCTACTGTATTTTTTTTGAATCTGGGCTCTGCTCTTTAACCCCCAAGTTTAATTACTTTTGACACACCTTAAGAGAACAGCCTGCCCTCAGCATTTGACACTTCTGCTTTCCACTTCTGGTGCTGGGGTTCTCAATGCTAAGCTTTCACTCTTGTGACAGTACAGGGATTCTGCACAGGCAAGCATGGGAATCTTTTAGAACAACCCCTGGGAGTCTTCGTTCTAGGAATCAAACTCCTCCCAGAGTTTATCTCACAGCAGAAATAAAGTCTTGGTGAAATTTTAGAGTGTCTTTCGCTGAGTCTCACATGCACCAGTGAGCTTTGGGATATTTGCACTCTGTACCCATCTTACATGTCTAACGTCTCCCATGGTTAGCTCCTGCCTACCTCCTTGAGCCCAGGACTCTGCCAGTAATCTGTAACTCCAATACCTGGCTTCATTTCTCTCCATGACATAGATCATAGTCACAGCTCCCCTGTCATGTAGTATTTTCTTCATTAGCTGGCTTCCACTTTAAAATGCGAGTCTGCGAGTCTACAAAGGAAACCAGCATAAAAGGAGTTAAAGAGTCATAATTAAGAGCAACTCCTCTGGGCAAGGGTGATTGAGTAAGCATGGGCTGACCGAGCTAAAATGTGAAAAACTTCTGTTTTTCTTCATCTTCTCCTTTCACCAAAAAGCCTGTGCAAAGAACACAGCACAAAGGCAGAATCTTTAGTTAAAATAGACCTTTAGGTTTACAAAGCAGAAACATCGAGCCTGCATCAGGATTTGACACGAAAAACAAATTTACATCCGTCCTGACCCTAACATAGAGCAAGATGACTCATGCAAAAATATGCTTCTCTCCTCTTTTCCTGAATGAATTTCTGCTTGCAACTGTGAAAAAAGATGGTTCTTTAGGATGTGAGTCCCTCTCCTTCCAACTTATTATTAATAAACCTCCTGATTCTGTTATTTTGTCCCCCTTGACTCAGTTAAGTAGCAAAAGAACCAGAACATCGTTACATGTGGGCAGAGACTTTGCTTACTTAGTTTGATATACCTTTAATCCCTAGAAAACCGCCTGGTCCAGAGGAGAAGCTCCAAAAATGTTTGATGAGTGACAAAAATCCCAGGGCAGTGATCTTCAATTAAAACGTAAAAGCGTGGAGCCACAGAGACAATACACTGGGTAGGGGACTTGTCTTCCATGCAACTGACCTGGGTTTGATCCCCGGCATCCCATTTGGTCCCCAGCACTACTAGGAGTGATTCCTGAGTGCAGAGCCAGGAGTAACTCCTGAACGTTGCCCAGTGTGGCTTCCAAACCAACAAACATAAAACTAACAAAGGTAAAAGTGTTGCCCAGGAGATGACTCAGTGACTATGTCTGTGGTTTCGTGCTGCTTTAAGCGGGAGAGCATGAGTCTGATGCCCAGGGCTGCTGCATGCTTCGAACATGACGCTGGCAGCTCTGCTATCTGAGATGTCTGGCACCAAAAACGACTTTTGTTCGTACCTTAGTCAGAGTATTCCAGCACCAAAGCCAGAGATGTGTGAACACTGTGACCAGGAAGGAAACCCCCAGTGAGTACTACAACCAGAATGTGAGCAAGCACCATAGTTAGAGGAGTGTGGCACTCGGCAAGCACTCCAGTAGATTATGGGAACCCCACAACCTGGTGAAAAACCCCTAATAAAAACTGCATCTGGGGCTGAAGAGTTAGCACAGCGGGTAGGGAATTTGCCTTGCACTCAGCCAACCCGGGATCGATTCCCAGAATCCCATATGGTCCCCTGAGCACCGTCAGGAGTAATTCCTGAGTGCAGAGCCAGGATTAACCCCTTTACTTTGCCAGATGTGACCCAAAAAGCAAAAGAAAAAAAGTGCATCTAAAAAAGAAAAAAAAGAAGGCATATGGGTTGGAGCAATAGCACATGTGACAAACCTGAGGTCAATCTCTGTCACCACATATGTTCCCCTGAACACCTCCAGGAATGATCCCTGAGCACAAACCCAGAAGTAAGCCCTGACCACTGCCAGGTTTGTCTTCCCACCTCCCCCATGAGTCCAAACAGTGAATATCATAAAATGTTACACTTCTTGGTACACTCAGCCTTTAACTTAACATACCTACATGTCTAATTACAAGAGTCAAGGACAAAGAAAATCCTGTGGCTCTGTAAATGTAACTGCTCACGCATTTGCAGGATTCAGCAAGGTCCTTGGGCATCTTGCCAGCTTTGTTGTGCTTTCTGCGAAAACCTCCCTAAGAGTGTGCAGTGTGGTGGCAAGAGAAAAGAGCAGGGTCCGTGTGAGAGAAGGGAGCACAAAGCATATGAGGGTCCCCTATGTCTCTACTTCTTTGATCAGCTGGACTCCCAGACCCAGCCCTGCGGATGGATCAGGTTCGCCATCAATGGCAGTGTGCAGTACTCAGTGCCCAACAAGCACTCCACTGAGTGTGCATGCTCCAAGGAAGGGAGAATTAAAATTCAACATTGAGAAATGTCTGCACCATGCATCTACTTGAAATTCTCCATTTGTAATGATTTTTCTTTTTCCTTTTTGGGGGGTGGAGCGATTGCTCTTGGGTCCCCCCTCCCCCACCGGCGATTCTTGATTGCTAATGGCTCAGTGCCAGGGATGGACAGTGCAATGTTGCTCAGGTTCCTGCAATGCTATGGGTACCTGGGCTAGTCCAGTTGTGCTGAGTGTCTCCAGGACT